TGTTATGCCAGTGCAATTATGCAAGAGCATCCAAATGCAGAGGACAACTGATTTGCCACAAGAAAGGGCATAGAGATGAAAAATTGTGATGAAATTCTGTAGTTTAGACAAGCAGTAGTTTTAAGCCTGTTTAGGCATGATCAGTTCTACAGACTTGCAGTTTGTGGCAGTGTTGTGTTTTTTGCTTTGTTTTTTTGTCTTTACTATAAAAAGTAATCCTTGATTGGATAGACGTCTGAGACTTAGCCTGAATGAGCTGCCTGCAATTTGCATGGGCATGTGTCTGAGGTAGAGTGCCAGGATTTGGTCTTTACTGAACTAGGTATACATGGCAACGTTTTCAGTTTGGGTCAACCTAGGAGCATTTTTCTAAGAGTTTCATTAAGGGCTTGTGTTGGATTCTTGCACAAAGAAAATAATATATTCCCTTGAAGTAGAAGTGAGACCAAAATGACATTCAAGGTTGAAAAAATCCTGTCATGTAACCTCTTGACAGATGAAAAGAAAACTACAAAGCAGCAAAAACAACAGTCTGTAAAATATGCCATGTAGTCAGGCTTTCTCATGACAAAAATGTGAAAACAGCTTATAAACACAACTTGAAATATAGGTCTGGGATTGTAAACCTATTTGGATGACAATATTATTCAACATAAAAATGTTATAGGTGTTCTGCTCTCTAGTAACACTTAAAAGGCTTCTTCAGCAAATGAGAACCAGAGATGTTAAAAAGCCACAGGAGGATACAGTGGCAAAAATGGAAGCCACTGCTTCCACAGAGGCTGAAGAATAAGTACTGTGTTGAATCCCCGCTTTTGCCTTGGCCTGTGATAGAAGTAAGTTCCTATAGGCCTTCTACTGGCATGGCTCACCTGCTGCTCTAGCTTGTTGAATGGTAGAGGGAATAGAGCCTTTCACTTCTTTTAGTCATCTGGTGCTGTGGGGAGCTTATCAGGAAACTTAAAGTTTGATCACAGGACTTGTGCAGGCATAACTGACCTCAAGTATTACCTAATGTGCTCACAAGACATTTGAAGAGCAGCAGAACGTCTAGAGAATGGTTAGCTTCTCTGACACAGAAGTGTGCATGTTGCACTCCTAAAAATCTGCACAGCTGTCTGAAACATGGCTTGTGTTTGACATTGCTGTTGTCACTGTTAAAATGCCCCACACACCACCTCACTGCGCTTGCATCCACTGTTTGGTCTCTGCAAATGCTCTGCAAGCATTGATGAATGCCAAAGGGTGCAATTTTTTTCAAATGGTAGAATTCAGTTCTGCACTTTTGCTTCATGTGCACTTGTCATGCAGCATTTTGTGAGACTATCCCTTTGCTGCCATTTCAGAAAATTATCAATATTAAAAACTAGATATAAGGAACAATCCTTTAATCTTTTATTTCTGAGCGTCATAGGAGAATTCTCCATGTCAACATGAAGGCAGGCAGCTTCTCAGTGATGTGACCCATGTTGTTTCCATGTGACCCAGGCTGTGTTGAGACCCATACAAGTGGCATTTGTGACTTCAGAAAGCAGAAGTGAAGCCAGTGTCCTTCCTATGGCATCTGTGCATACAGCCACCCCTGTAGGACACTGGCAATGCCTGTAAGCACCAAACAAAAAAAGTCAAGTTCTGCATGTGCAGGACTGAGTGTACCTTTTCATTGAGAAAGGTAATTGTAAAATGAAGACAGAAAAAGTGAAAACCACAGTTCCAGATTCTTATTTTCTCAGCAAACAAACATCCCTTTTTTAATTGTAGTTATAACGAGTAAGTCTTTTAATAATTGTTTTTTTTTTTTTTTCCAGTGATATATAATAAAGCATAAGGCTTCTATATATTTTGAGACCATATTTTAATGTGCAGGTTACTTCAATATTATGCACATTGAATTTTTTTGCGTATGCTTATACATATTAAAATATTGGTGTTGGGAAATGGGGATTTTTTTTTATTGGCTATAATATAGAGAACCTCATTTAGAAAATGAAGCAGAGGTGAAGTGGGTACTGTACATATGACTGTTTCTTGCAGCAGAAGTACTTGGCATGCTTGCATTTTTGAAAAGACAAAATCATGTTTGTCTTCCTTGAATGTGCACACATTCCTGGAGGTGGGGGATGGTTTTCTTTCTTTCTCTCTATTTTTCCTCTGGCCCTAAAGCAGAGCTGAGTTTGGATAATTTGTCCACAGCAACTGAAGGATATGTTTTGGGGAGGGAGGAACAGAATTTGTATTTATTATTGTAAAAGCTTTTTTTTTTTTTTTTTTTCATGTTAATTCTTTTTAAAAAATATAATGGTATGTAGGGGTTACATTACAGGCCTGTTTTACCAACACAAAGTATCTGTACTGGAGTAGGACATGCAAATGAGCCTGAAACAGAGAATCATTGTTTCATAAAATTTGCTGCAGGAAAAACAAAACTATCTGCGTTTGAAAAACAAAAAAAGTGGAAAAAAATATATTTTTAAGACTTTTTCTCAAAGAGCACTGTGATTGAGGAAATACCCTTATATGACAATTTTGTTTCTTGCCTTTAGCATTTTCAGCAGATTAACTGTTTAACCATTAGACACCAATGCTGCAAATATTGATGTGCACACTTTGTGCATATGAGATTTCCCACTGAAATGGGATTACTATCCAAAGCAAAGTAGTTCAGGGCTCACACTCAAAAGAACCAGACTTTAAAGCAGCATTTTCAAATACAGTCGAATTAATTCAATCTTTCACTCTTCTGAGTCTGTAATTTAATTTGTTCTTTTTTAAAATATGCTAGATATATTTCATAAAACAGTAAATGCTTTCTGAATGTTGTGTACCTAGTGATACTATAAAAATGGAAATATACTTTATGGTGTGTTTCTTTTTGTTGCTATTGCATAACAATTTTTTACTTGATCAAAACTTTTCACCTTCTCTGAACTCTAAACCATGTGGTCATTGAGGTTGACTCCAGAGTTAACTGTTTAGTGCCTATAATTTGATAACATATATGAAGATAGTCATATCTTCAAGATATGAAGATGATAGAAAGATAGATGATATATAGAAATATATGATTTCTAATATAAATCTATATATATAGATTTATATTTCTATGATATCATATCTAAAAATATGATATCATAGAAAGATGATATATGCACATATATCTACTTGTTGAAATCTGTGGTAAGCCACCTGGAGACCAAGTTCCACCAGAGGAACAATAACTGGCTGGCAAAATGAACTTTCTTTGGATATCAACAAGTGTAACTAATTGCACTAAATTTCCCAGAATTTGAAAAATTGCTAAGGGGTTTGTGCATTTGTGTTTACACACACACATCTACACATATATATCATAATCATGATAACTCCAATCCTCTAGCATCCTACCGATGCACTGAGCAGGCTGATAAGAAGACATCTGACATGATGAAGATTGGCCTCAGATAGTCTTAGTTTTCACCTTGCTATTGCTGTCAGTGCAAACAGGCTGGTATGACACCACTTTTAATTCTTCAAACCAGAGCTTTATTCAAAAATCTGCCTGGTGCTACTCTCTCCAACAACTACTGCATCTCTAATTTCTCCTTTTTGTTTCGTAAGCTTGCTAAATATTGTAAAAAAGAAAGAAAAATACATATCCTTGCTAAAAATGTTTGTGACTTTAGCTGACTGGTCTGTTTCAGAAAAAGTTAAAAACTAGGCTGTACTTGGAAAGGTCTGATAATACTACAGTCATACTAATAGATCTCAGGGCAGATGATGCTTATAAGAAGGGTGGTAAAATGACCATATCCTCATAAGAGTCTTTGGTAGCTATGACAATAAGGAAAAAAAAGTAAAATTCCCTGCCTTTATATCTACATCTGTACAATTTCTGAGTATACAGCAGCACTCAGAAAAGCATGTTCATTTGAAGAATGAAAAATAGGCTTTGAAGTAAGGACTACACAGTGAAGATGAATGGGGTGAGGTCACAATTCCACATGTTTTATTGTTTTAGTCCATCTGACCTGCAGAACAAACAAGGCAGCCAAGTGCTGATTTACAGGGGGAAGGTAATTTTCCTGACCAATGAGGACCAAATGTTTTGTTTTGAGAAACAAGATCAGATTCTATGGAACATAAAATCCTTGGAACCTGCTGCTGATTTCCTGCCTTTCCTGCCTTTGGGAGTTCTTTTTGCAGCTGACAGAAGTGTAAAACAGTAAAACTATGCAGTTCAGGAAGCTTTTCACAGCAATATCTTCCTAATGCTAGGTGAGACAGAGTCATGAAACATACTACAGAGAAAATGAGTAACTTTAGCTGATTTTGCACTTAATCTAACAAGTTTTCAAACTAATTTAATTTAATTATTGATCTCTTGCACCATATTTTTAGTTGTAAATTGGTAAAAGGATGTTCCTCTCCTTAGCAACAAGTGATACACGGTCCAACTAGATACCAACCAGGAGTCATTATGAAAACATGGCCAACTGGCAAATCCCAATGTGGACTGCTCAACTTGATGTACAGCACTACTTTATTAGCATTAGTTATCTAGCAAATGAGTGTTTTCATGGAAGTTTAAGATTTGAGCTACCCCCAGCCAATACATCATGGGAAAAAGACTAGCAAATTTATTTCATAAAAGTTTTGAGATATACTGATCTGTAAAGGGCCTTAAACATTCAACAAACTCACCAATCTCATCATTAATCTCATTTGAAGAAAAGTCAAATTTCTATATGGTGTTTTAGCAAAAAATAAGAAAAAAAAACTAAGAAAAATGAGAAATCATGCGGAGTCAGAAGAGATGCAGAATTTAATAGGTTTCATCTTAATTGATCATTTAAATAGTGCACAATACATAATAAAGTTAAAAGGCTGTTAATTATCATTGTTCCAAAAATGCTCTTTACTTCCATGAATTTACTTCTATGATTTCAGTGGAAGAACTTTTGAAGTAGAGATGCATGTATTTTTCATCTCTGATTTTTTTTTTTTTTTTTTTTTTTAAACAGGAGTCTCTGAACTTTATTGATCCAAGTTTGATGGATCTAAATGGTCCAAGTGAAGATGCACTAGAATGGGATGAAACTGATATTAGTAACAAGCTGATCAGTGTTAATGAAGATTTAAGTGATCCTGATCAGGAACTCAAAAAAGATGATCTAAGCCAGAAATCTACTTCAGGAGAATGTGGCAGCAATGATGTGAATGAAGATGAAAGTATCAGTGATCGTGGAAGTCCTCTTTATTGTTCCAGCATTACTTCCCCTCCAAATCCTCACATCTATCAGGTCTATAGTCTTCATAATATCGAATTATCAGAAAAAAAACACATGCCTTTCTTGAAAAAAGCATCAAAACTCTCCAGTGTAACACAGTCTAACATTTTAAACAAAAGTCTTAGTAAAGACTCTTCGTTTTCATCTACCAAATCCTTGCCAGACCTAATAGGGGGAACAATATTGGCAAAATCGTATAACTATATGTACCAGAGTGGGAACATAAGCAGGCATTCCGAGAGTGAAAGTGGAATAGTGAGTGAATGTGATACAGAAACTACAAATAATTCAGAAATTTTTTTACTAAATGATATTGAAAGCACTCAGAGCAATCCTGAAATTGGTCACACAGGAACTCAAATGGATGACATAATTGATGTAATAAAACAAAAAATAAAGCAAGATGAAGAAGACCATGCTAGTCTCTCAGATGATTTTCAGTTGGCACCATCTGGAGGTTGTGGAAATGAAATTGATAGGGACTTGGACAACATTACCATGTGTAAAACTGTTTGTTTAGAAGAACTGCAAGGAAAACAAGATGTGTTTACATTTTATGATTACTCATATCTTCAAGGCTCCAAATTCAAATTGCCAGCGATAATGAAACAGTCACAAACTGAAAAGACACAAACAGAGGGTGCTTTGTTTCATGGTTTTTGTTTTGATAAAATACCTGGTAAATCTGAACATAAGCCTGGAGAGTCACAACCAGATGAGTTTATTCATGACCATAATCTGGCAAATATCCCTGGAGGATCAGATCCCAATTCCTCTAAGTCTGTGGAAACAGTAAGAAAACTAATTGCTACAGAAAATACAAGACAGCTTTCTGCTTTATCTCATAGTTCTTCATTAGAATCTCTGTCTGTAGTAGGTGATTTATTCAGCTCAGGTATTTTTAAAAGTGGAGATGGTCTTCAACGAAGCACCTCTTTGGAGAGCTGGCTGACTTCCTACAAAAGCAATGAAGATCTTTTTAGTCATCATGGCTCAGGAGACATTAGTGCAAGCAGTGATTCTGTTGGAGAGCTCAGCAAAAGGACATTAGATCTTCTGAATCGTTTAGAGAACATCCAGAGTCCATTAGAACAAAAGATAAAGCGCAGTATCTCCGATATAACACTCCAAAGTAGTTCTCAAAAAATGTCTTTTACTGGACAGCTGTCTGTAGATATTGCTTCCTCAGTAAATGAAGACTCAGCAGCTTCTCTCACAGAGCTCAGCAGCAGTGAGGATCTTTCTCTCTGTTCTGAAGACATAGTACTGCACAGAAATAAAATACCAGATTCAAATGCATCATTTAGAAAACATCTTAATAGATCTGTAGCTGATGAGAGTGATGTCAATGTTAGCATGATTGTTAATGTCTCCTGCACTTCTGCTTGCACTGATGATGAAGATGACAGTGATTTGCTTTCGAGTTCCACCCTTACCTTAACTGAGGAAGAGCTAGGTATCAAAGATGAAGATGATGACTCCAGTATAGCAACTGATGAGGATATTTATGAAGAATGCAATTTAATTTCAGGACTTGATTATATAAAAAATGAACTCCAAACTTGGATGAGACCAAAATTTTCTTTGACAAGAGAGAAGAGGAAAAGTAACCTCAGTGATGAAATTCAGCACAGTAAAGTTAGTAATGAGACATCAAAAGCCACAGATACACTGAACATTGAAGCACTTTTGAATGGTTCGGTGCAGAAAATAACAGAAAATAATGGCAACAGTAAGAATGTATCACGTAATCATGAAAAGGGAACAAAGGGTCACCTGATGAAAGATATCTCTCAGGTTGTGAAGGATCAACTTGTGGATGATATGGAGAATGGCAATGTTGAAAATACTCTTGCCAGTCATAAGGGAGATCTTGTTAGAACATCAGCAACTTCCAAAACTCATGCATCACTTGGTGTAAAAGAAGCTGAAAATGAATTTCATATCTGTGAAGCATTTACAGACAGTTCGGATGATTCACATATGGATGGAAAAGAGACTGTTCTGTTGTCAGTTGGATCCAGAAACCCTCCAAAAGAATGTCAAAGTCATCTTCGGTCTGATTATCACTGCACTGCTTTCTCTCCTGCTAAAAAGCCTTGTCTTGAATCTTCCTCAGAAACAAGCTCTGTAGACACACAAGCTGCTACTTTTCAAACATCCTTAGCTGATGATCAACAACACAAAATAAGCATTGCTGAAAAATCTACTGATTGCTGTGCAGTCTTGAAATCTAGTAAGGCAGAATATGACTCCTCAGCCAATGGACCTGATTTATGCTGTAACTGTGACTCTGCTGCTTTTGATAAAAGAAATATGGAAGATGACTCAGTACACAACTTTGTGAAGGAGATAATAGACATGGCATCAACAGCTTTGAAAAGTAAGTCACAACCTGAATGTGAGTCATCTGCTCCAGCTTCATTAACACAGATAAAGGAAAAAGTGTTGGAACACTCTCACAGACCCATTGAGCTAAGAAAAGGGGACTTCTATTCTTATCTTTCACTTTCTTCTCATGATAGTGACTGTGGAGAAGTAATCAAATACATAGAGGAAAAGAGCAGTACACCTGTGCCACTGGACTTTACAGATGAGAGAGATAATATTGAATGCTTTTTTGAAGCATGCCCTGAAGATGAACGTGTTGAGCAACAGCAATCCATTTGTAATGGTACTCCTGAAGCAAGAGCTGAGCAGCAGCAGCAGCCAATTTGTAATGTTACTTCTGAAACATCTCCAGAGTCACCAGATGAATTGACTTTGGCATCATTAGGAAAAGTTAAAGCTTCATTAGAAGATAGTGATTTATCTTTTCTATGTGATGATGACAATATAAATTCCTGCAATCCTAACAAAGAAAATGCATCAAACAATTTGAAAAATGCTGTGGATGATTTGTTGATTTCAGACTGGCAAACAGAAGGTTTGGATAAGAATTTTCCAGAGCTCAGCAGTACAAACAGTAGTATAGGAAAATCACCTGGAACTGAAGATCCCAAAGGATGTGTTGCTGCTTCTGAAGAGGCTTCAGCTACAGAGTTTCGTTTAAAGCATGACCATTCACAGAATGAGGAGGTTTTACACCAGAACGCTAAAACTCTTACTTGTGAAGAAAATCTCTTGAATCTTCATAAAGAAAGACGTTTTAATATGCGCAGATAGAATGTAACACTCTCCAGGCATATACATTATCCTAAAAACAGGTATGTACTCTATGAAACACAATTTCTTTTATTTACATTTTTTTATTTATTTTTTTCTTTTTTATTATTATTTTATTTTATTTTTAAATTTTTGTACTATGAAAGAGGTGGATCATCATCCAGGGCTTCTGTTTTATGGTAGTATTATTTCATTTGTTTTGATTACACTATAATTCTGATTTACATGCCACTGGTCAAAAAATGCAGTGAACAGTAGCTGCTTCTTGCCCTTTGGCTTTGCACTGACTGGACCTGCTTTCTTCTGGAATACTTCAAATCTGCTGTCTTTCAGAACTTGGGAATCCTTCAAAATTAAAATTTCTGTATCAGCCTACTCCTCCTTTGTCAGTGGAGCCATGAAAACAGATAACAGCTCTACTCATTGATTCCTTTCTCCACAGACAGCTGACCTTATGAGTTTGATGAGGTTATGCACTTAATGAATGTGAACTGGTTTTACAAGGATTTTGAGTGACCAGTCAGCTGGAGCTCTATGATAATTACAGACAGTCCATGACATATGTCCTAGCAGACTAGAAATTAAATAGTGAGATAATAAGTCATCTCTTGGTGTCACCTTACCATGACTTACATTTATTAAGCCATTACTAACCATTATAGATTAGACCAAATTTGAGATTACAAAAGTAAGAAATCTTTGCAACATCAATGACAAATGTAATGTGAAGGTGATGTAGAATAAAGGCTCAAACACCAAAGCAAATGAAATACGATAGCCACAAAGCAGTGCTGAAAGCTTCCATTCTATTTTGTGGTAAGCATGTTGAACCATATATAGTTCCTATCCGGAGTTCTGACCTCACATGAATGTCTGACAATTAGCTGCACATTTAGTAGAAAATCTACAAAGCAATTTCTGGAACAGATCCTATCACATAGAACTGTTGCTTTGAGTCTCACTAGCAGTTTGGTGAGCCAAAAGCCAGCATAGCTTTACAGTGATGTCACTAGTTTTTGGGAACACCAATCCAGTTGTCCAGAACCAGCCTGGCAACTCCAGATGCCACTCCAATTCCAAATGCTTCTGCTTATGAGAAACTAGCAAGGGGATTTCTAGTAAGGCACAAAGTTAAACACCATGTTGCCCAGGCTAGTTCTAAAATCTCCATCCTTGGAGAATTTCAAAATATACGTGGACACATCCTTGAATGATCTACCTTTGAAGATATTCTTGCTTTGAGAAGGAGATTAGACTAGATGACATTCAAGTTTCCCTTCCTACCTAGATTATTCTAAGAATCCATTATTCTTTCCCTTAGGAGAGAAGGTTGTTATTCATCACTGCTTATGAAATCCACCAGTACACACCAACTGCAACCTGCATAGCTATGACAGAGGTTCAGAGCCTATTTATATAAAAAAATAGATTGCTTTACTACTGTTGGATATTTAACTTCAGAATTTCCTGATTTTGCTATATTGTATTATTGTGCATTGGAGTTTTCATATGCACATGTTAACTTTTTATCCACCATTCACATATTCACATATGTATAAAGACAGCTAGGAAAATATTTAGGTTATGGCAGCAAAAGTGTACACTTTGCCATGATCTCTTTCAAACACAAATCTATTTTAATAATACACTATCTTGGAACTGTCGTGGCAAAGAGGATATTTCTTGAAAGGCTTTGAAATGAGTTTTCCTGACCTGTTGATTGCCAGTAGGTTAATACTTGGACACATCCAAACAACTGAAGAAGCAACAGATATCACCTGGGATTTACAAAACTGATAGATGATACCATATATTCTAGGATTGCATTCTAAAGATTGTGTGTCTACAGAGGCCACGATCTATAAACTGAGATGAGGACAAAAGCATGAGGTTGACAAGTGACTATTATGTAAACGTAAACTTTTCCTAAATTACTTCTTTACAAAGTTTCTTTTTTTCCACTCATTTTGTAACACTGGGGAAGAATACTTAGTACAGTGAGTTTGATTTTCTTCTTCTCATTCTTTCACTGACAAAGTCAATAGCATAACTTTTCATTCGTTAGTACTTTTCCTCTGAGGATCTCAAAATACTATGTAAATTTCTTCTCACTCTTAAGAGCTTCATAGTTACTTATATGGTAGCCAGCAGCGTTTCTCGTAAGACTGGGGTATGACAGTGTGCAGTTAACAAAACATCAGGACTAAAACTGGGTATAGAGGATGGACATTTTAATACATGCCCAGAGTGCAATAGAATGCAGAGACTATATACAAAATTTTCAGAGTTATGTTAAAACTATAGCATTTAACATAACGTGCATTTAATTTTTGCCTGGGGGTTAAAAATTTTAAGACAACGAAGCCTTTCACATGACATCCCACTTTTTAAATTTAAGATACATTGTTTCTTAGCAGATATATATAACCTTGCTTCCATGGAAATTATGTACTGTATTATTCCCAGCAATAAAGCCATAGGATACATGTAGCATGTCTCAGGCACATCAAAAAAGGAAAATATAAGCTGCTAGATTTGGTTTCACTGAAGACTGAGCTCCCATCCCCCCTTCACAAGCTCAGTACTTTAACTTCATCTCTCATGCTATGGGGAATGAATTACAGAAGCAATCTATCCTAATTTGTTAACTTATTCAAATAACAGTTATTATACTTAACTATGCTAAAGATTATCTTTTTGGTGGCAGATTGTTTATTTTTTGATGAGGCTAATTACTGATTTTCCAAAGGTAATTTACATTTATTACTAATACATCTTTTAAAATGTGACAGATAAATGTTGTTCCCATAAGTGTATTATGAAAAAAGTTTCTATTTAAAAACACATTATTTAATTTGAAAGATAAATGGCAAACACCATTATTTTTCCTGTAGCACCTGTGCTGTAAGCTCATTTAAATGTGTAATTCCATGTGTAGCTGCAATACTTAGAGAAAAATAATCTATAGTATATGTGTACCTTTAAAGCATACTAAGAATTCAAAGCTGAAAGAGGCCTAGTTTCAAGAATAGTTTGATTTTATACTGCTTCAGTATTTGCACTGGATGTACAGGGGAATAAAACAGTGAAGAGTTGCATATACTTCTGCCAAGTATATGTAACAATCCTATTGTTTATCAGCATACTACAAAAAATGCTCATCATGTTAAAATAGTACAAATTCTAAAAGCAGACTCAGAAATGTCTATCAGCACCAACTCATCTTCCATATTAGCCAACATTAGAATTCTGTAACAGAGATACTCATAAAACTATGCATAGAGGATGGCTTGTAAGAACTGTCCTTCTGTACATGAGAGATCCTACAGTGTTCTGCTGTCAGTGTGACCCATGACTCACAAAAGGATTGGGAATTCTTAATCATATATTCAGTATGCATAAAAATCATTACATTTAGGAAGTTTATGTGATGTGCCTGACGTCTTTTCTAGAAAATACGGTATACTTTTGCGTGTTATTTGTTAGTGCTTAAAGTAAGTCAGAAAAGTTATTTCTTTCCTTTTCTACAGAATCCATAGTTTAAACAGAAGTTTTAACTTAATTTAGAAAAAAATGTTTTATCTGGGTTTTTATCTAACAGAGCCAGAAAGTTAGCCAGAATATCCTGCAACTTGCTATACCCAGAAAGAAACCTTAGAGAGAGGGCAGGTTCTATGGTTGGTGATCAGGACTGGTCCCTGAAGGCCTGACTGTTATTTTCTGCTCAGAAATAGATGCTTTTGTATGGCTTTTCCTTCCCTGCCTCAGTTTCTTTAGCCACAAAATAATGAGAATAATAATTGGTGGAACCTGCGTAACATAATTCATTTGCTGAAAATGTTTTGAGATCCAAAGATAAAATATGGTAGAGAAATGCAAAATATTGTTAGTGAATTAGTCATTGCAGGAGAGAAATAATATAGAAATTTACACAATAGCTAGTATGCAATAATTTACTTTTTGAAAATGGAACTACAAAAGTAATCTAAATTTATCTTTATTTAATTTTTGCAGGGGAGTGGATAGAAGAATGTTTCTTTGTAGAATTTAAAATGGTCTGACTTTTTATCTCCTCACAATATCTGACTTCTTTAAAAAAAATGAAATGGAATAAACAGATAATCTTATACTATTCGCGTATTACATTTTTTTTTAAAAACCTGACATAATCCATCAGTGAGACTTTTCTTACTGTAGATACATGAAACTCCTGCCAAAGTTGTAGGAACATTTTGATAAAATCTTTCCCTTTACTCACATTAATTCTTCCCTAATTTCTAAACAAACTATTGAGCTTTTCACTCTTTTGTGTAAGTATATTCCTTCTACAGATAGAGGGGGACTCAGTTACAGCAAATAAGATCAAAGGAGAAGGTAACTGGATAGATGCAGATACTTCTGCTTAGTTCAGAAGGCACATAATGCATGTCTAGTGTGCCTCCTAGGAAATGCCTACAAGATGTACTTTGCACTAAGCTTTGAGCTGTATTCTGACAGTTATTTTTTCATAATCCTCATCATAAGTCTGTGCTCTTTGATGAATAGTTTAACCCTAAACTCCAAGCAGGATAATTCTATAATATGAAAATTTAACTCATTGCTTGTACTAGAAGTGTCTAAGTAGCTATTTACAATTTAAAAATTCAGTGATGACAATGAGAGTTCTGTTCATGGACCCCTTTTGTGACAATCTTTTTCTCCATTGAAATCTTATAGTGTATGATACAAAAGTATTAAAGTAAGTGACAGGTGCATCTTTTTGGTGTTTGGCTTTAAAAAATTCCTATGTTTTCATTGATTGGTGCACCTATGAGTGCACTGAAGGTAAGTTTGCAGGTAAGGATGAAGACTGGATTCACAGAAAGGTCAAATTTCATGACATTTCCCGTTTCTTTAGTCTTTATAGAAATCAATGAGTTTTCTACATCAAAACAATTTTTACGCTACCTTATACCTCAGGCTGTTAAAAGTCATTGTTTGTCAACTGTATACTTCTGCATTAAAGGCTCTGGCATGTGGTCATTTAATGGTTCTCTATGGTTGTTCTGGAAGAGCTATGTTTTGCAAATAAAACTGCATTTTCTGTAACCTACTATTACTTTTTTGTTTCCTTTTAGAAACTTGGCTGCAATTCAGGTGCAGGTTCATCCTGTAAACCCTGGGATGACCTCCAATTCCATTGTATCACTGCCTTTCATTACACTGACTCCCAAGATAAATTTTTTTTTGAAATGTGATTTGTCCATGTTGGCTTTGTGATCAGATTGCATATGCTAGTCCTATTTCAGTGATCATTTTGTGTGGTAGCAAAGCCATTGCTTTCATATGGATTCCTCTCCCAAGCTACCTCTAATGACCTCCCTTCCTAAATTGAATGCTCCTGTACTACTTATCACTGTTTCTGTTCTTTAAAGTTTTGAAGTTCCACAGGATTTATTATCAATCTGATTCATCTTTTCAGTACTGTACCTGCCAGTACTCCTCTATTTTGTGTATCAAATTTAATATTTATGTGTATAATGCATAAACTTATTGAAGCTATTTTGATTTGACAATTCTGTTGGATTGCAGCAAAAGGAAATCATTTATCCTCCTGATTCAATGCATCTAAAAAATAAACAATTAAAATAAATAAATGTCATTTTATTTATTTAATTTTAAAATTTAATCTATGCAACACTTCAAGAAACAACTACATGGTGTTGTATATTAGGAACTGTTGACATTCTACGGAATTAAGTACAACATTTTGATTTTTTATGCTTCTTGAGGTGGTAATGAGTAAAAAAAAAAGTTTTTAAAAAATGTGTGCCTTGCTGTATTTCTTATACCATTTATTAAAAAGCTGCTTTCACAGTAAAATTATGTTGATTTGGAAGGAGGAAATAGCAAGGTTAAGTTGTGTGAATAATTTCTGTATATATGTATAACCAAGTGCAAACGTTGATGTATAATGACAGTATAAAATGCTTTTGTGTTTGTGATGTCCAGTGATGTGGAAAATATAAGCCTTAAAACCATTAGATTGCATGGTAATTAGAATTGGCATAATAAACATAGTTTATTGGGGAAATAAAAAAGCAGAACTGGTGATGTGTTTTACCTGCGTTCTAAGAACAGAATGCTGCATCAAAATACAGAGAAATTCCTTTTTGTTTGAAAAGATTTCATAGAGAGAAGCAGTTCCATATCCAGTGAAGATTTGTGTTACCTGGCTCAGAAGGAAAGATCCTTTTCTTAAAGATTTGGCAGGCCTCCCAAGTCAAACAAGGAGAGACAAGCAATCAATGCATTAAGCTAACGTACTGCCAATAGCCATTGAAAGTGGTCAAGCACACTTTGATATCAGACATTTTCCTTTTTCTTTTTTTTTTTTATCATTGGAATATTGGGTTATAGAATGTTCTCTGATTCTTAAACTTTCTTTCATTTGCATAATTATATTGAATAAGCGTTATATATATTCATATGAACACTTATACAGTTTGCTCTTTCAGTGACTTAGGTTGTACAATTTAAAGGTTTTTCTCTTGTGCTGGCTGACTAAATCAAGCCAGATCTACCTCTGCAAACATTGCTTTCATCTCCTAAAATCATCTTTTGCCATTTTTTCCATGTATATAAGTTTTTTTGTTGTTATTGTGGGTTTTTAGTTGTTTTTGTTTTTCTTTTGTTTTGCTTTTTTTTTTTTTTTACAAAAAGCTTTAGTATTCTTTTTCTTTTTTAAAAAAAGACAAGCTGTAGCTTAAAGGCACTATACCAACCAGCTAATATGTTCATATAACACTGAAGTAACAGGTGAGTGAAGAAAATCTGATGTTTTTCAGATTATTAATAGCTTCCTATAACTGCAAGAGACAAGTCATCTATCTCTCAGTTTAAATTTCTGCTATATAGCCTTGATGTTGGTATGGCAGCAGAAACAACTCCCAGCTTACAGAAGAGCATTAATAAGAAGCAATTTTTAACAGAACTCTTGAAAAGTTTTCTGCTCTAGCATGTCTTGTAACATGTTTAAATCTGTTAGGTTAGACTTACAATTACCTAAAGTACATAGCTGTATAGCTAATGACCACAGTAATATATTTTAACTCTTTTTTAAATTATATAGAAAGTAATTAAGAATATAGCTTCTAAGTTTAGTAAAATATTTATTGTGTCAATTATTTTAATCAAAGATTTATTTCAAAAATTATTTGTAAAACAGTCTTGACGTGGGAATTAAGTTTGGAATCATTCATTTTTCTCCCTAGCATTTTCTGGTTTGTGCTGTATGTTTTTTAAACTTAGTCTATAGTGAGGCCTTACACTATGATGACAGAAAAACTAATATGTCTAGTCTTTTCAGATCTGTCGCCTCACCTAAAAGACTATGTAGAATTCTGTCAATTACTTGTGTCTTTCTATTAGATCATTTGCCACGAATTCCCTTTTTTTCCTAGGGAAAAATAGTGGTACTTGTCATATCAATAAGCCACATATTCAGCATACAATACCTGGAATATTATACGACTACAGCTCAAATTTCTGTGATTCCTTGCTGACAACTTCTGAACATTTTGATTTAACTAATATTCCCAGGTCTGAATTATTTGGTCTCGTTAGGTAAACATTCACCCTGACTCAAGAGCCATCATTATCAAATATTTTTTTTCTGGCATGGTTATGTGTTTTACCTTTTTTTTTCCTCTCCTTAATCTTACTCTTCTTCTCAGGATATATTGGGTTCTGATGTTAATAAAAATTGATTTCTAAATGAAAAGAAATCTCTGACAAATAACTCTACAGGATTTGTTTTTGTCTTAGCATAAGTCATATGCTTATGACCAAATTATGTATCGAACTTTCAAAAAGTTCTGGTGTTAATGGCCTTAAGAAAACTACTGATATAGTGTAAAATTAATGTAGGTTTACCAATATAAGCTCTAAGATCAGCCCATAAATAAGTTCTTGTATAGATCCTGTTACCTTCTGGTGAAGTTCTCTTGTGCTGTAGAAGCATGCTACAAGCTTTCTGCAGCATTTATCTCCATCCAGAGCTCCACAGGCTGCTTTTTATTCCACACACTCCTTGACTTATGCTTGAACAACATCTGCAATGTGTGAGGAGAACATTTGACAGAAACAGCCCTGATGCATGGATCTCCAGTTTGCTTCACATTCCTTCCGCAGAGAGCCAGAGATCTGCAGTTCCAAACAAAGGGAATGCTAGAGGTAAAACCATTGCTTGACACTATGATTTAGAAGCTGTTTTGTAGTCACTGTAGTTTTATGTTTGGCTAGCCTTGTGAACCACATAGCCAATCTCCTTCCCACTTAATAGTTTGCCTTTTTCCAAACATAAGTAACAGCCTTTCTATGAAACAGTGCCTCTGTATGTTGTAGAGGTGGCACCTCTAAAGCTTTAGGGTTGTTTGTGTTTTTCATTATGTACTTGTGTACACACAAACATACAAATGCATGCGCACCAGAAAAATTGTGTAAGTTTGTTTCACAGTAAGGTCAGATGATCAGTCCTTGTCAGTTAGATGACATTAGATCTCATCTGTCCTCCTTCAGAATAGTGAAGGGATACCATAATTCCAGTTCCCGTGCCTTGTATTTTAGAATTTCATTATAACTATCCTGTGTTAAGCAGAACAACATCTTTTGACAAAAATGTACTCAATAGAAGTGGTTTTTTAATTATTATCATTTTATTTTATTGAAGACATCAAGAACAATGTTGCAAAGGTTTCTGTGCTGCAAAGCAGAATAAATGGTTTATTAATGTTTAGGACAGACTATACCCAAGCTTGAGTCAAGAAGATTAACTGGAATGTCAAGTTCTTACCCAATCAATCTCTTTCACTGGCAACTTTCTACAAACTTATTCCTAATGATAGCATCAATTGGAGAGGGATTTTGGCCAGCAAATGACATCTGATCTATTGCTTTCAGTTCTGTGCTTCTAACTTTCTAGACTCACAGTCTTTTATACCTATTTTATCAATCCAAGTTGCTTACATTTTTCATGTGACTACTGTTTGCTCAGTAAATGCATTCTCACCTCTTATTTTAGAAAGGTTTTTAAATGCTAGATCATAAATGAACTTTGCATCATTTAGGATTGAGCGCTATATGAATTCTAAGTGCTTCAGTGCTTTAAAAATGTATTTTCCAATCAACAGCAAGTAGTATTGCTTTATTTCTGGGGTGTGGAGAAGTAAGCTAATAGTGGAGTTAGAATTTTGTAGGTCAGTAATTCCAATGCATAACTATTACTGTGATAATGTAGTTATTGATAAACTAATTACAAATACAACAGGTACACAATTTCATCGTACTTAAAATGTTATGGCACAGAAAAGAACAGAGAAGGAAATGACTTTGTCTTGTATTGATCTCATGTCTCTGTGACATTCTAGGATTGTGAATGGAAATTAAAATAATATTTTGAAAAGATTTTTCTCTTCCTTGTAATTACTATGAGGATGTTTTAAATGCAGCAAGGATTCAGTTGTAGCATTTGCCAAAGGAATATCATGAGAGTGACAGGAAAGAGAAATGTATTTAACAAGGTTTCAAGCAATAGTGGAAAAACAAAAGCTGTACTTGATACACTTCATTTACAGCATGATAAAGATCAGACTCTGGAAATACTGATACTGAACATCAACCGTCTATCCCACATCTATGCATTTCTTCAGGGAAAGATATATGCTGCTAGAAAAAGCATGCCCTCAGGTGAGGTGGTTTGGTTATTTCTCATAGAGGATACATACTGAAACTTCCACTCTTAGCTCCGGACTAGAATTATCTTTAGAGGGCGTGTGTTTTCTTGCATCTTTATAAAGAATGGGATCAAATTTGGTCTGAGAAGCATATTTCTCTGACAAGATGGAAAATTAAGTTGTAACAACTAGATTTGAAGTTATATACATTGGCAGAATACAAAACAAAACAAAACAAAACAAAAAACCACAATATTTCTGTAAATCTAGTGGTCCTGGCCAGTAGTTTAACCCAGAATTCTAATCTTTGTGGTATTACTGTTTTTTTTTTATTAGCTGATCATTATTTATCCTGACCAGAGCTATATCTTTCTACAGTGGTTGGTTTACATTACTCAAATAAGGATTTTCATAATGCAAAAAGATTATGAAAACGCCTTTTCAATGGTTAAAACTGGCAAGAATCAAAGGAAATTCCAGGGCTCCATTTGATTGCTGAAAAAAGATTTGCTTCACTAAAAAGACTGTCCCCTGTAAAGGGGTTTTGCCATAAATGAGATCATAAATGTTTCCCAGGCCTGTTACTGTTTATTTTACGTGTTCATGTATCTCTTACACTATTATATACATATATAGCAGCTATCACCATATTGACAAACAGTGTTTGGTGACACTGAGTTTGGAACTGGTCCTCTGAGCCAAACAGTTCTCTCATATCTTTTCTTCCCACACAATTCACCAACTAAGGAAAGCATTTGCAACTTACATTTGTTGCAGAAGGATTCAGAAAGTTACAGATAATTTGCAGGCACCATTTTGAAGGGCAGGTAAGTAGAAGGCAATAAAATAGAGGGTTGGAGTGAAGAGAAGGTGGCTGGCAGATATGTAA